CCGTAGCCACCTGAATTTTGTTCATCTCTCATGTCCTTATGGGCGCCGGCCTCCACCAGCAAACGGACAATTTCGGCGTGCCCGCATTGAGATGCCCGATGCAGAGCTGCAAGGCCGTATTCGTTGAGCGAATCTGGATTTGCAGGTAGCTGTAGCTTGGACTCAACCTGCAGGGTCAACTTTCATGGCTTGAGCGGCCTCATGCCTGCTGCAGCGCAATAGAAAATCATAAAACGCAGGTATTTCCTTGAGTCCCTATGAGATTCCACTATAGTCTACCCAAAGGCCTAGTCTAGTCATTGAGGCCGCTTCATGAATGCATGCCTGCGGAAGCTGTAAGCACGTGTTCAAAACTTTATAAGCCGAGGCTTTCATTGAGGCATGCACCATCCTATTGAATATATTGTCACAAGAGCCTTAATAAGCGGACAGTGGTTTCTGAATGTAGGTACTACCCGTTACGACCCCCGCAACACTCACGTTTTTGAGAATGAGGTTTCCAACATGGCGGGCAGTTGCAGGATATACAAAACCTCCTGTTCTGAGTTCTTGTTGAGGAATGTAGGTTGAGCTACCACAATAAGGTAAACAGATGCTTCAACTGTGAAGTATATCCCAATTATGGTAGACAACAGATTTGAAACGAACCCAGTATTACTTGGACTATCGCTAGCGGAACACCGGTCTAGGCCCCTGTTTCAATACAAACCACCTCTGCCATGATGCCGTCTGCGGCGTGCTGTGATAGATCATCCGATGATCATCCACCTCCGATTGGGATACTTCGGCGAAGTCCACCACAACAATCTTCAGGTCCATCGGGGAATCCAGCGTGGCTGTGTCTTCCAACATCTCGCCATGGAGGAATACCCTTTGCCGAAATCGTGGGGGAAAGCCATGCTGCTGATTCAAGCGCTGCTTCAGTCCCCTGACATCGTGGACCTCCTCGTTCACAGGTATGCTCAGAGCTTCCCCGGAGAGCATTTCAACCCGATGCATCTCAGCAGAATTGTGAAGTACAGATTACAAGTCAGGGCACATCAGCCGAGCGCTCGGCAGCCCAAGTAAGTGGTGCCCCTGAAGCCAAAATTCACTGCGGTGACACTTCAACACTTTGTCCCTTCCCTGAACTGTTGGATTTTTGGCGGTTGGTGATTCGAACGGTTCGAAGTAGTATTTTTCCCCCTCCTACCAAAAGTAGTATTTAGGGATGAGGGTTTTCGATTTCTGTGTGCTGTTCAGTGCCTCCTGGGCAATGCATCTGGAATTGAAAGCTCTAAGCCTCCAAGCGCTTGGGGACTAAATATCAATTTTTCGGATTGGCGGGTACAGGCCCCCTCAATGGAGGCCATGTTGGTCCCTAATGAGTCCGTACTGGTGCGAGCTGAGAATGTCACATAGCGGCATCGCGCGTCAGAGTGCCTGGATGGGGAGGGCTTCTCGAAGGCACTACGACGCATGAAGAACCCCCGCAGGCAAGAGCAGGGACCAAGACAGAACACAAAGGTAAATACGAGCCTAAAGTTCACAGCCGGAGGGAGAAGCGAGTCAAACCAAAACAAAGCAAACTACAGAACAAATGCGAAAGGCACACTCGGGACTGGGACACAACAGGAAGGCGAGCACTTTCCCTCGAGCTCTCTAAACAAGAAGACTATATGCCGGGTCTGACAGAGTCTTCACAGAGTCTTCAATTGGAGCTTACAACCTCAGCAGGAGGTGCCACAGGACAGCGGCGCCTCCAGCCGTCGGCAGTCTTGTTTGGATGCAGTCTCGAGCGATGCATCATCGAGTGGCTCCTCCGGCCTCGAATAATTCGTTCAGAGCTGCTTCCAGGATGGTGCTACTGCTACCAATGCCCGCGGTAGGTATGTTTGCCAAGTCTTCACGGTCAGCGTTTACATTCCTAGCGTCCTAGCTCAGCAGATCAAATTGCCCGTAGCCTTACGGCTCACTTAAACTAATCCCTCAACGCCTATAGGATGCAGGGTTCAGGGCCTGTTGAGCTAATGTAGGGGACCTTAATAATTGGAATAGGGTTTTAGAGTCTAGTATACTATCATTCATTAAGGAGCCCCAAAAATAGTAATAGATCAGTATAACACGGAGCCCCAAAACATAGTAACAGGTCAATATAACAAGCCCGCAAAATAGTAGAATAGAAGCCACTAATTATTAAGGCCACCTGTACCCAAAACCCAAAACCTTAAAACTTCAACCTTTTCTTTTAAACCCAAAACCTTAAACACAACCCTAAACCCTTAATCGTGTATTGCGCCTCTTGAATTTCTGAAGGGCTTCGAATTAAGGCTGAAGCTCAAAGGCCGGGAGGAGGGCAGCGACCACGAATCGAAAGAACCCCCCCCTCCGATCTTTAGGGTTTAGGGTTTTTTGGGTTTAGGGTTTTAGGTTTTTTGGGGTTTCGGGCTTCGACTCTCACACTTGCACAAGGCCGGCCAGGCTCCGCATAGTTCTGTCTCCACTGCAACTAGAGTAACTAGAGAGAGAGAGAGAGGTTGGGACCACCACACATGGACAAAGCAAAATAGCTGTACGTGCAGTCAACCTCTCTCTCTCATTTGCTCCTCTTTTTCAATGGGTTTGGTTCACACTTATATCCAAGGAGAAACTCCTTACAGTGCCATCTAGTGGTAGGGATCTTGAGACGTCGAAGATGCCTCGAGAGAGCTCCAAGAAGAGAGGGGACCCTAGATTCGAAAGTAGGAACCTTCAACCAACTTGCGAAACTCCCTGCCTTTTGTTTGTCCAAGACTAATGGACAAGTCCCCCGTGCCGATTTTTTTAGTAAACCACTTTGCCGCCGGCTTCCACTAAACCCTGAACCCTAAATCCCTAAACCCTAAATTTCCTCTCTCTTTTTTCCCTCTCTTTCTATTTTTGTCTCTCTCTCTCTCTCTCTCTTTGTCTCTCTCGCGGACTCAGAGGTCTGTCAGCCGCGCGGTCGTCTAGCACTTGACGAGAGACCGAAAGAAGAACTACAGAAACCCCAAACCCTAAACCCCCGAAATCCCAAACCCTAAACCCTGAACCTCTAAATCCCAAACCCGGAATCTAAGTGTCCGAGACTCGCGAGCTCCAGCTTCGCTTCGAGGTCGGCTAGCGACTCTGCCTCCGGCGATTGTATCAAGGTCGGGTTTGGGGCTTAGGGAGATTTTGCATTGGGTGTAGGCTCAAGTTAATCAACGCCTTAAGTCACTCGGATGTGGCCACGAACCCCTGAACCTACACTGATGAATCCTGGTGCTCGAGACATCGGCGGGACAGCCATCATGGATTCCCTCTCTTCCCTCTCCGACACGGGCGCAGCCACGATTCGCATCTCCTTCTCTAACCAACTCTGCCCATATCCGGCGGAGGAGCAAGTTCGACCAAGGGAGGTGGCAGATCACGTGCTGTCCACGCAGCTTTGCCTGAAGGTTGCTCTGTACTAATGTAGGAGCCTGGTTGAGAAACCCTGGCCCTAAAACCCCAAGTATGTTGGGGTTCGTATTAAGAACCCTAATAGAGACCCAGGGTTCTTAATCAGGTTCCTCTTTACTAGGGTCCTTCTATCATCAGGGTTATTTTCATGTGAAGGAAGTCAATCGAAGCTACCACAAAAAGCCTAAGTGTCTGAGTAGTACAGTATCACTGCTGTATCACACTACAGATGCAATCAAAGCAATAAGCTACTGTCATTTAAGCATCCATAAAACCCTAACCCCTAAACCTCATGGTAGCTTACATGAATATTCAAGTTTCTCAAGGAAAGCCCAGCGACGGCTGGTGTAGGCGAGGTCAGACATGCCGTGGTCCTCGAGTATTCCTGCAAGACGTAGGCTTGCTTTTTAGTTGCACCTTTTTCCGACTGCTGTGGAAAGATTTAGGGTTTAGGGTCCGTGCCCAGCGTGAAGGAACGTTTGAATTCACGGATGATTTCTCAGCGACTGGACTTATCGTGCTTGACTGCGTGTGAATGCCTTCTAGAGGATCTCAAACTAAGCGAAAAAGTTCAATGCCTGTAGGGTATTTATTGCAAAAAGTAAGGCTTCAAGAATGAACACAAGGCTGTGCGGCATATATTGCTTTCATTGTTTGTGGACACAACGAAATACAACCCCTATACGATTAGCATAAGATCCCCGCCGATTCTGCATTTCTGCCAAGACTCGTGAACCAAAGCCGCTCAAGCCCTGGAAAGCAAAGGTCAAGGCTTTCCCTTCCCGTCTCCCAGCCGGTCCCAACCCATTTCGTTTCAACGCGCACGCGCTGGCCACGGAAGGGTCCTTGCTTCGCAGACTGATACAGTGCACACCATCAGGAGTAGGAATGGCGACCTGCTATGACTATGAACAACCGTATCTGGAGGTAAATCCAAGACTGCAAACTTGAGCAGGTCCTGTCCAAGATTCCTATCTCCCTCAGAGGCACATCAACCTGGATGTCAGCGGCATGGCTTAGCCAAAACCGGAGAGGGAGCCCCCTTTGACTCTTGACCACAAACTAGGCAACTACAGACACGACAGCCAATGAGACCTCGTTGTCAGAGCTGGCTGCTTGAAACGAGAGTTAGACGTTGAAAAGCACGGGGAAGGGCGGTGTTCGCCGAATCTTCAAACACAAAACTGTTCTTGAAATGGTTGCATGCCGGGAAGACATGGAACATGTCTGAAACGTCTCCGCTCTACCAGGTTGCAGCTTCAGGCCTTCCATACTTCTTTTGATAAATTGGCGGCCCAGGCCTTCCATACTTGTTTCTTGGCAAATATGCCTGTCTTAGTGTCACCTCTCAAGCAGGAGTGTTTGTTGGGCTGCGGCAGCCTCTTCAAAAATCTGCCCAAGGCTGTTTTGAGCTGGGTTCCTTGTCTTGCTCCCTCCTGACCGTCCGGCGTAGTCTGGAGGCTTCTCTGCCAGAGACATACTCGGTAAGATGCTAGGGAGCATCTGACAAGCGACCCTCAACACTTGCCAGCCCTCTTCGAGCAACTTCGCTGTTTGGCTTAATTATGCACTGACCAAGGGCTTCGATTCTCACTCTGGTGGATGGTGTCACAGGGTGTCGGGTTCATCATCACGGCCTCTTCCGTGCGCTCGTCCAGCAGCTCTTGCGCCGTCCCTTCATTCAGACCAAGCTCATCTTCAATGTTGGCCTCTATGACGGTGGTGCCGGCACGATCAGCATCAGCGTTGTCATTTGATTCATGCTCGTCGACAACCTTGCTCTCATCACGATGCTGCGAGACACGCGATGTGCCTAAAGAGCCGCCACCGCTTCCAGCTCCTGAGCGGACTTGGAGCTTGATGGCCATGTCCACCATGAGCCTGTCCATCTCCTGAATTTATTTCGGGCCGTTTAGTAAGGTAGCCGCTTTCTGGGGGCAGAGTGCATATAATTCCGGGTCCTCGAACTTCTGTTGTGTCATCCGCGTCAGCTTGCCCACCGCGCTGTCATCCACAGCCTCCTCGAGGGACGGCCATGGTAATGCTGGGTTGGCAAGGCCTCCGTACCGCTGCACCCGGTCCAAGGGCACCTGGGCTCTTCTTAAAACTGTACACAGCTTCAGGGTTTAGGGTTTCGACCCACACACTCGCAAAGCAGGCATGGCAGGTACGGTCCGAGCTTGCTACATGGACATGACAAGTTTGGGGCCCCGGGACAACAAAACACAATAGTTAATGCCCAAACAGTGAACTCAAAGCAGAAGGTTTACGCTCTCACAACTGGGACAAGCCAGGCGAGGTCCTTCTGCTTTATGGTTTAGGGTTTAGACAGCAAGGAAAGAATTTTCTTACCATGGCTCACTTCATTTGCAAGAAAAGCTGGCAAGAGCCAAGTCACCTTGGGGTATTGCAGGTATTTGTAGGGGTCCTCCGTCGTGGGTACTGCGCCACGGGGACCGTTGTCGCCCTCATCGAGCTCGCAAGCTTCAAGCAGGTGCAGGGATTCCACAAAGGCCGTCCACCGTTTCCTGGACTCTGGCTTTTGAGGCTAGAGAAGGTATTATGAACAACTTTTTCTATAGGACCATGATATAAGGGAGACAACAAAGCTGTCCAAAGTGCCGCCCCGTTTCTTGGAAATCAGCGGCATCGAGGTTTCGTAGATGTTGATGCCGCGGGTCAAGCGGGCATTTCCCCGAGCGTCATAGTAGATCTCCTTGTAGCGCTGGCACAGCTGCGCTACCATGAGGTTCATCAGGTAGACATGCCAGCATGCAGCGAAGCCAATAATAAACCACTTCAACATCGGCTCGTCTGCCTGAGCGATTTCTTCGTAGTTGGAGCTGCCATAGGTGTTGAAGGCCATGGATAACATAGATTCAAAAGCAGCAGGCCAGTTGAAGAAGTCCCGCATCTGAACAGAGTCGGCGCCGGTGCCGGGCGGTAGGCACGCCACTGCTGAAGCAAACGCCGCAGTGAAGAAAATCAAGACAGCCACATAGAGAAAGAACTCCCACATCAAGCAAGCACAGATCACACTGAAGACGGAGAGCTGCACGTTCAGGTGCACCAACTCAGAGCCGAGCATGAAGTAGAGGAGCATCGGGAAGGCTGCCAGGCGATTATATGAGGCAATGAGGTTGCATTGCCACTCTCCATACTCGCAGCAGTCCAACACGAATTCACTACTGACGGCGAGGCAGTGGAGCATCGGCTCGATACAGAGCATACATATTAAGAGAAGCAGCAGCAAAACTTCAAAAAGCTCCTGTCGTGTCTGGAGCACGTACTGCGGTACAGGCAAACAGCCGCAAAGGCGCGTCATCTGTTTCTGGCGAACTGCTCTGTACGTCTGGTATGCATGCTTGGCGAAGAGCTGCCCAAGGCTTCCAACGTACACGATCGCTCGGCAACAAATGACCTTATACCGATCAGTACTAAGAGGATCACTTGACAGGATGGCCTGCTGCTCTGCCAGGGCGAAGACCAGTAGAGTAACGCAAAACCACATCTTCGTCAGAGCCCAAGGTGTTCGACAAAGCCGATTCCACAGCATATCGGATTGGAAAACCACAGTGGGGTGGCAAATGATCTCAGGATCGCCTTTCTTGATCATATCCGAGAGGAGGGGCCGTAATAACTGACCGTAGCAACTAATCATAATAAGGGTTTTGTAATATATCACAGTATAACATGTTGTAACCATATAGGGACTCTTAGCTTGGCTTTCTTCCGGTCGCCTTGCTTGATCAAATCCAAGAGCGATTCGGTAAGCTGGCCGTCTTCGCCCACGAGCAGCGAAGCTATGTAGAAGTTCGCGCGCCTTACTCCATTCTTCACCTCAGCTCTTCCTGGAGGTGCGTTCACAAGCAGTAAAGTATGTCTGTATGTATGTGTATATATATATATAGATAGATAGAGAGAGAGAGAGAACATACAAATATAGTTTAACTTTTTGACTGTAAATGTATAAATACATGACTATATAAACAAATATACAAGTATGTAAATACATGTAAACATATACACATATATATATATACANNTATATATATAGATATATACACATATACAGGAATGTATCTATCTATCTATCTATCTATATATGTATACATGGAAAGTAATGATGCATGTACTGTTTATGTACGATGTAGTAAGTACGGCGTGGCATGGCATGGCACGACACATTGTAACGTATATAAGGATGTATCCACGTAGGTAGGGAAGGGAGGAAGGTGGGAAGATAGGTAGATAGGTAGGTAGGTGAGTACGGAGGGAGGGCGGGAGGGAGGTAGGTAGGCGGTCTATAGGTAGGCCGGTATGCACTTGGTGTAAATGTATGTATGTATAAGTATGTATGTATGCACACGCGTATGTGCGGATGCATGTATGGATGCATGTGTCCATGAATGTGGTATGCATGTCTGCTTGCATGCATGTTTGTGTCCACTCATTAGCCTTTCTTCTCTGTCTGCATACATCCATGTATGCATGTACGGATGCCTTTTTACCGTGGCGCACCAAAGCACAGCATAGCGCAGCGTGTCACATCATAGTGTGACCTGATATGCTATATGACAACATACCAGAAAACATACTGCCGCTCTGCGGCACAGCCTTTACATGTGCAACTATCATGCTTCATTTTATACTACACTGTTCGACATAACATTTTGGACTGTTCCATTTGCATAATGCAAGCTATAGCCATAGCAAAGCATGTCACCGTATGACAAGTGCCGTGAGGAAATATGTCTATGCATATAGGTAGGTAGATAATATGCAAAGAAAGATGGTGTACAGCGCTTACATTACAAGCAGTAGGGCGTACAATACAGCAAACCCGTTTGACACAGTAGCACAGATAGCATAACCCTATCAAGCAAAGTATAATACACTGTGGAATAATACAATATTGTAATGTTGGCATACAAAATGAAGACAGCTGTGGCCTGCACGACGAAGAGACATATAATCACCCTCTACTGCGCAATGCAGTACATTAGCTCGGCATGGCATCCTACATCGTTCAAAAGATGATATGCTAAAGTTACTGAGGATATGGCTGAAGTTTGGCATACATATGCCATGGTGTTCAATATAAACATGTAACGGGCATACGAGTAGCATTATACAAAGAATAGCTTATTTGTCAAGCTATGCTAAGCTAAATGCAAAATGAATTTCGAAAGCTGCCCAGTCACATTCTTGGAGCGCCAGATGAGCCCATCAAACAATGTTGACAGGAGCGAGGGTGCTTTGACACAAAGCAGGCTGATGATGTCCTTATAGTTTCAACTCAGAAAGAAACAAAGAATAAACTGAGAATTAACTCTGATGCAAAAACCCGGGGCCGAAAGAAGGGCGGCAGAGCATGGGGGCTTCAAGTCTAAGTGTCGGAATGGCGGGTGAACAGGGCCTCCATGCCATAGTAGTACCGCGCGCGGTCCGCACGCATGGTGAGCAAGTCGTTCAGAATTTCCCGGGCCGACTCCAAGGCGCCCTTCTCAATAGCCCATATCCTAGGCCGAGGATGTAGGATTCAGGTTCAGCATCTCATCGGAAACAAGTAGATACTCTGTTGGGATGGTCGGCACGCAGGAGCAAAGAAAATTAACACAGCCTGTCGCTGATAAAAACCTAGTGTCAAGGGAGACATAGATTCGGTGCCCACCTGCACCGTCAGCAACACCACCTCCCGCTGTCCACGGGGATAGTTCGCGACCGCCGTCTTCATGGCCTTGGAGGTGTTCCTGTTGATGGCGATGATCACCGGGGTGGAACCCTCAGCCAAAGTTCGGATGAAGATCCTGCCGATAAGGTCCAGCGTCCACCAAAGCCCATCATGCAAAGACTGGTCCGGGCAGTACTCTTTGATGTTGCTCATAAACGCCGCGACAAAGGGGCGCACTAAATCCTCGGGGACTCCATGGCCCGCATGGAGGAGGCCTAGGGCGGAGAGAGCGATAACGGCCTGATGTGTCTTGGTGTAGATGTCCGACATGATCGTCAGAATCCTTCCCATGATGTACACCAATCGCTTGTTGGCCGCCCGAAGGTAAAGCTGCGATTCCTCACAGGTTGAAAAGAAGGTGTCAAAGACCTTGAGCTTGAAATCCGCCAGGGTCTCCTCATCCGAAGTTGGGGATTTCGGGCTTCGGGGATGTTCGGGCTTCGGCTCCTTTTTTTTAATACCCCTAAACCCTGGCAGAAAGGGTTTCGGGTTGGGGGGGTCTCAGTCTCCTCATCCATCCGAGCGAGAAAGGTCCTCAAACACTGGTGGTTATGCAGTGGCAGCTGCCTGTTCTCCTCCACCTTCTTTTCCACGATGCCCCAGAACCAGGACCAAGCATTCCTGAGTAATTATCCTAGTTTGGTGGCCGCCAGGGAGGCCAGTTTGCGTCGGTATTGTTCTAACTCTAACCCACTCTGACTATGATATGGAGATTCTGATGGCTCTTGCTTTTAGGGTTTAGGGTTTAGGGTTTACCTTAAACCCTAAAACCCTAAAGCCCTAAACCCTAAACCCCAAAACCCTAAACCTTCTAGATGTCTTCTCGAACTGCCACTGAGAGGCTCATGCTCCAAGCTCCAGGTGCTAGGCAGCAGGGACCGGAGGCTGGCAAACATCACGGACCTAAACTCCTCTTTTTCTTGTTCTTAGTAGGGAATGGGGGAATAGATCTTCCTAAACCCCCCAAAAGTGGGCAAAATAATGGCCCAAACCCACAAAAGGCTATTATTCTACATACTTTTGGGGTCCAGGTTAGTAGGGAATGGGGGAATGAGAGTCCCTTATAAGGCCCCCCAACAGTAGTCCCCATAAACCCATTTCCCCCATTCCCCACTAAGAACCGGAGAGTCCTTGAGGTTGATTTGCCCATACTTGGCCAAGGTCAGCGTCAGGACGTCGCAGTCTTCCTGAACTCGGTCAATGTTGCCGATGTAGGGAACCAGGGATTCCATGGCATAGAGCATGTCACCAAACCAAATGCGGTCTCCAGTGCCCATGACAGCAGCGTTGAACCGAGCCATGGCTGCAAAGGTCTTAGGAATGTTGAGGTTATCATTGTCCTTCCATGCTCCGTGCCTGTTCGTTTCAGCTTCCTGTTCTTGTTCTCCCTTACCATCGCCGCTCTCCTCTGCCTTCTTCGCCTCCTTCTCCCCGTCTTCTTCCTTCTCCGTCTTCTTCTCCTGCTCTTCTCCATTCTCCTCAGACACCTCTTCTTCGGCCTCCTCCTCATCATTGGCATTCACCTCCTTCCAGCAGCTCGTCAAGAGCTTCAGCCGTGCCTTGTAGTGCTCGTGAGTCTTCGCCAACGACGTACCCAAAGCTACCACCACCTGACCCAAACCGAATTGGAACTCGGGAGTCATGAGACCACCAAGCTTCGATGCACAAACTTCAAAAAGGATACCGCGGAACACCTCAGGGGGGAGCGTTCCAGACTCCGTCTCCCCCTCCAAGATTAATTCGAGCCGGTTGCGCGTTTTTGGTCAAGACCGTATAAGTAGCTTTTGAGAATATAACCCTATAGTGCGGAACTATCCCACCCGCAACCTCGACGTCGGCGGTAGTGATGTCCGCATTCATGTGGCGCAAGGCGATGTACTCCAGGCGTTTCTGGACCAGCTTCGGCTCGGCAAGGTCTTGCAACAGCTCGGACAAGAGATGCCACACTGTGCCTGGGTAATACGACAACTTTCTTAATCCAGACTTTGTTTGGAACTTTCAGTTTTAATGGCAGCCAACACCACATGAACTAATCGTCGTAGAAATTGATCCGGAGACCCACAAAGAGATCCCTCCCATAGGTTCCCTAGACCCTCTGATACCCTGGAACAAGCCCCATTCAGTACAGGGGCCAGAAACAATTAGAACAGGGCGTTGGTGTATACTTCTTGGAATTCAAGAAGTGACTATCGGGCAACTATACCAGCAGGGTCGTCCTCTAAACTCTGAAACCTGATATAGGCTATTTCCTAAGCCCTAAACTTCCACTAAAAACCTAGAACCCTGATCCGAAGCACAATTCCAAGAGCAGAAGCCAAGGGACTCGACCTGGTCAGCATTCCTTGGGTTTTGGGCAGCTCGTGCTTCAACTTTCCAAGCACCTCCTCACCTGCGGCTTTGGGCCCTCCCAGCCGCTTCTCGGTCGTCTCCCAACCATTCTGAACTTCCTCCAGGGCACTCGCAAGGGTTTGCGAGAGAGGGAGAGAAAGAGAGAGAGAGAGAGAGAGAGAGAGTGTGTGTGTGTATTTGTTTGTTTGTGTGTGTGGGTGGGTGGGTCGGGGGAGGGGGGGATTCTTTCTTGCGGTTCACGTGCAACTCACCCTTCCTTGACTGTATACTCGTCGAGCTCGATGGTGGAAAGCAACCTGCTGGCTTCTTCCATGACGCCGCGGTGCACGGAAGTCGGAGCTTCGAGGCACAATCTTAACAGCTCAGAGGCTAGAGCGGCTAGAACACTGGTGGAATTTCAAGTGGTTGCATCTATTCAGAAAGTGATGCTAAGCGTGTCATGCTGGAGCCATGCTCTGCCAAACTGCGAAGGGGCTTCTGGTGGCTTGCGCCAAAGTCGGCTGCAAGAACAATTTGCAGAGAGTTGCGCACAAGGGCCGTCTACATCACGCTTCGCTTTCGCACTGATTCCGCACAGCCTCAGTTGGACTTCTTGACCAACGTTACTTTTCAACGACAAACGTTCTTCAGAATGTGATGGGCTGGACTGATTGCAAAGCATATGACCTTGACTGTATAAGCACCCATACAGGTATAAGTATAAGTACCTGAAGAAATAATACACGTGCACATATATGCATATTTGTTCACATCCATCCCTCCATCAATCCATGCATGCATATCATATACGCATAGACATGATGTACGTACTCCTGGCAAGTACATACTGGCAGAGAGAGACAGAGAGAGAGAGAGAGAGAGAGAGAGAGAGCGAGAGGGAGAGAGAGAGAGGGAGAGAGAGAGAGAGAGAGAGAGTTAGAGACAGATGGAGCACTCAATGGTCTTGAGATGAAGTTGATTGCTGTAATTACGCCCAATTGACATCAAAGCCCATACAACGGTCGGAGAAGCCATCTTTCCATCTTCAGATATTCGCGAAGTTTCGTGCATATGCGCACCAGAGTCTCGACCCTGCATTTGGGTACGCTTCCCGCCTTCGGTCTGCTGAAATGTGGTTGCTAGTGGCGATGTGTATCCTGAGACAAGCAGTCCAAGTTTGGCCAATGAAAAGCAGAAAAGCAAACAATTTGTCACGCGAATGGGGTGTTGTTTTCCGGGATGTGTCTTTTTCTGAGGTTGTGGACATCTTCTGTTGACGCCTCTTAGCCTAAACTCAGAGCCAAAGCCTTTCAAACAAATTGAATCGGACACCAGAATCAGCAGAGACTCGGGAAAAGCGCCACAGACTTGAGAAAATCTAGCCGGGTCAATCCAAACTACCTCAACCTGCCCAGAAGTATCCGAAACTTCCCGCGCTCCAAAAACATCCAACAACTGCCTGCAACCAGGCAACCTTCAACAAACTTGGATGGTGTGACCCTGTTTAGTTTTTGCAAAGTTTATGTCATCGAAGCTGCCGAAGCCTTTGGCAATGTATAGAGTCTGTGCTTGTTTTGACGCTGGGGGTGCAAGAGGGCCAGTGCTTAAACGACCCTGATGAAATGATACTTCTACCACAGAGAGCAGCAACAAGCTGACAAGTTGCACGCATCACAACGACACAGCCCCCAAGCGCTGTAGTCTACACCTTGCAACTTGGTAGATGAACCCTAAACCCTAAACCCAAACCCTAAACCCTAAACCCTAAACCCTACATCATAAGTGTATGGATCACCTGTGCCTCTCCCTGCACTTTTGACTATGCTATGCCTACGAGGACTTGCTAGGCTCGTCATGCCTGGCCTTCAAGCAACAAGACCGAGGGTTAGAAAAAGGACGACATATAATATATATATATATACATATATATATATTATATACATATATGTATATATGTATGTGTGTATGTATATATATATATACATACGGGGCTTCAACTTGCTGCAATTCTCGAATTGTGCTCGCCATCTTAGGGCCAGGCAAACCTTCCGTGTAACATTGCTGTGTTATCGGATGATTCTCTCCTTAAGAGCACGGTGGTACAGTTGAGGGTCCTTAGGGGTTCTCCGGAATCCTAGGTTTTAATCCGGACCACTGTTCAGGAACCACATAAACCCTAAACCCTACACCCCTAAACCCCTTAAAAATAAACCCCAGGGTTTAGTCTTCGCGTTTGCAGTGGATCACATGCTCTGTTTTCTGGCACTTTTTACCACCTCAGGAGGCGGTTGAAACCCCAAGCATCCAAACCGGAAGGAACAAAAATCCAAGCCCATGCATCAGGTAAGAACAGCCCCTACACTGCCGACGTCATCAAAGCTACCGTGAACTTCGAAATGGCTCCCTAAACCCTCAACCCCTAAACCCTAAACCCCTAAACCCCTAAACCCTAAACCCCTAAACCCCTAAACCCTATAAACCCTAAAGCCTAAACCCCTAAACCCCTCAAATCCCCATCCTTGGCCGGGTGTCTGTCTAGGAGCTCCTCACCTTTTGCCACCGGCCGCGTGGTGCGGAAGAGCATGACATCCCCCACCTGAATCGGAAGGACTCTCTGCTGGCCGGCTCTAGGGTTCCGGCCTCTGGGTTCAGGGCTCCAGGGTTTAGGGCTCTACGTCAAGCTTTGAAGGCTTCACCTCAGCTCCTTTTGTTCTGATGACACCTGAACCCCAAAACCTCGAAACCTTGGGGCGGGGAAACCTCGGACTGCAATGCAAAGGATGCCTGGTAGAGGTCTTGGGCAGGCAAACACCAATGGACCAATCCTAGGCAGTCTTTGTTTTTGTACCTAACAAGGACAAAGCCCGCATTGCTGTGCATGGGTTCATAGAGTGGCCTTGGTGATTAGAATGGGGCTTGGGGGTCCTTCGTGGTATAAGTACAGTATGCAACACTATGAAAAATGTGGGTGATCATTCCGACCACTCCATGAACCAAAGCGATGTTGTGTACGAGGTTTAAGCTCGAACAGTGCGGGTCTGAAGCTTTGAGCTTCAGATTGGTTCCAGGGTTCACCCGGCTCTGCGAACAACGATGTGGGATTCAGGGATTTTTCTGCTGCCTACGATACGTAGGCAATAAAGGAAACTACAGGTGGGGAGTTTAGGGTATATAGGGCTTCTATAAGGTTTCTACAAGGTATATAGACCTTCTATAAGGCTCCTATAACGGTAACTGCCCACCTGAAAATGTCCTAGATAGTTAGGGATCGAGGTTTCAAGCCCTAGGGTTCGCACGGTAGCTGAGAGAGACAGAACCAGAAGAATCTGGAATCTACATCGCTCAAGGAAGCCTCAGTTGGAAATTTGCTGCCTACAGCATATATTCTCTACAATCTCACCCTAAACCCTAAACCCCAAACCCCAGAAACCGTAAACCCCAAACCCCCAAAACCCCCAAAACCCTAAACCCCTGAACCCCTAAACCCTAAACCCCTAAACCCCAAAGCCCCTGAACCCTAAACCTGGAGCCCCTAAAGCCCTAATCTCTTGAAGCTTCGGGGGCTCCGCCCTCCCGAGTCTTCTGCGGTGCCTCGCACCCCCCGAAGTGAAGAAAGCTGTAGCTGGGAGACGCAGGTCCTCAACCAACACCTACCCGGGGGTTTTAGGGTTTAGGGGTTCAGGGGTTTTGGGTTGACCTGCCCAGAAGTCCCAGAAGTTAACGCCTAACCCCAAAATTTTAAATGGACCCCCCCCAAGTCCTAAATCCCTTAAGCCAAGACCCAACTCTCCCCATGCCACCCCGGAGGTGCCACGGACACTGAGCCCAGGAGCAAAGATGTGGGCACAGTTCGGTTCGCCGTCCTCCACCTGCGAGTCCAGGCTCAGCCCTGAACCCTATGAACCCTAAAC